GCCTGGGTGGCTCAGTCGTTAAGCGTCTGCCTTCGGCTCAGGTCATGATCCCAGGGTCCTGGGATCGAGTCCCGCATCGGGCTCCCTGCTCTGCGGGGAGCCTGCTTCTCCCTCTCCCACTCCCCCTGCTTGTGTTCCTGCTCTCGCTACCTCTCTCTCTTGTCAAATAAATGAATAAATAAAATCTTTAAAAAAAAATAGGGCAATTTTATGGTGTACAGACTAACTCTACACATTCATCAGTTTGTAATAATTAACGGGATAGATGAAGAATATAAGTATTAACCAAATTAACCAATAGGCATCTTTCCACGTCTGTTTCTAGCAATGGCAAACGCACGACGGCTTTTACTCAGGTTCCAAGGTTATCCTGGGCTATTAGGAATGTGTGATAAAACTGCATTCCCTGCCATTCCCTTCACATCACACAACCCAAGCACAGAGCCATTAACCTAAAACTCCTAAAATACTGTCGACCATGACGAAGACACTGGGATCAAACGGGAAATGAAGAGACTTAAGAGTGTCTTAAATTCGATCTCACTTCTACAAGTCCCTACCTGTTAGGTCAGTCGATCCCGGACTCAGAGTCTCAATCTCCTCTTCGTAAAATGAGAACAGTGAGGCCTACGTTACAGGCTTGGTGCAGGAATAACGAAAGAAAATACGTAAAGAGCCAAACTGACTTCTGCAGAGTTAACCCTCAATCTGTTTTGTCCCCTTCCTCCTCTTCCCGCTTCTGCAAGGGATGAATAAACGTTAAGGTTCTTTGTTGAAAAATGAGATATAGTAGCATTTATTGTTTTTGTCGTTACCAAAAAATGGAGGCTGGCCAGGCCCCAGTGTTGGGTACACAGTAGGTAAAATCCACAGACGCAGGACCTGCTTTGTAGACTCGACCGTACTTCTGTGGCTGAATGACCCCAAAGAGCGGATTAATCTTTCGACCTGCGAGTCCCAGACCCTTGGCGGGGTCTGCCCCGCCTACCTGGCAGCGCACGCGCAGTCGCTCGCCCGGCTCGCGGGCGGCCGCAGTCCGGCCGCGGTGGGCGGGGCCATGAAGGAGGGGAGGTGTTGCCCCGCAGAGGGCCCGCGAGGGCTCAGCCTTTAAGGGCCGCCAGTGGGGACAACCGCTGAGCGTGCTAGGAGGCCGTTGCTTTCCCGAGGGGCTCTCTTCCAGGCTCAGTCCGGTGTCAGCATGGCCCGTGAGTGTGCGGACGGGTGGGAAACGCAGGGGGGAGCGTCCGCTGAGGGAGGCTAGCTCCGAAGCCCCGCTGGACCGGAGGCGGGGGCTGGCTGGTGTATCCCCTTCGGTCCGGCGGCGCGGGGACCCTGTTCTCAGTCCGCAAAGGGAGAGGGAAGGTTAGCTTCGGGTCCGCCTGGAGAAATCGGGCTACTACCTGCCGGTCAGGTGCGAGTTTACACGGTAAAGAACACCTCTCCGAAGGTGAGGTGTGTGAGGACGGCAGTCCCGGGAGGCGTCCTGTTCTGAAAGGGGTTTCTAACTGGTACTTAAGGTCCTAAGGCCTGATGAGGACTGGAAGCTCCGACTGAGTCTCCTCCCTAGTTCTTTTGTTTGGCCCTTACAGGTAATGTTTCTCGAATAGCCGCATTTGTTCGCCTAACAGTCGAATTGTGATGGACCAACTTAAGGAGCTGTGTTCCCTGTGTATCTATCCTTTCCATTCACGCTTTTCAAAAGCTAGACCTTAATTTGGAATACTGACCCGTATAGACTGAGGAGTGGAATGCCTGGTATTTACAGCCAGTGAACACATTCACTGGTATAATATTCTTAAGTGTTTACCTCTAAGCTTCCTCCTCGTCAGATACCGGAACAGCGTTCAGTGTAATTACTCTGCTGGAGTATGTTAAAAAGCCAACTTCAGATGCATTTAAATAAGAGCGTTTTTACGGAATTCGTAATTATTTTTGAGATGGGGAAAGAGCATGACTTTGACTTTGTAGGAGGAAATCAGAGAGAACTTGCCCGCCAGAAAAACATGAAGAA